TCCTCTTCCTCCTTCTCCTCCTTCTCCTCCTTCTCCCCCTTCTCCTTCTCCCCCTCCTTCTTGGTTACCCTGAGGTGAGCAGCTTTCCCTGCCATTCCCTTCCGTCATGATGTCCTGCCTTACTTTAGGCCCGGAGCATTGGAGTCAGCCAACTGAACTGGAGCATTGGAGTCGGTGGACTGAAGCTCTGAAACCGTCGGCCCAAATAAAAATCTATCTCCTCTTAGCTGTTCTTGTCAGGTATTTTGGTCACAGTGCTGAAAAGCTGTGAGCTTATTAATATTAAAAAGTGTAGGTATAACTGATATGTGCAGATTTATCAACCTGTAATTGGGCTTAGCACTGGGGGCTGGGACAGGAATAAAATGACCACCTTTAATGCCCCTTTGCTCAACAGCCACCAAGTGCAGACATCCAAGAATGTGTACCTCATGCCTTCACCCACTGACGGATTCCTAGGTTGTTTCCACTTCTTGGTCATTAGTAAGTAACACTGCAACGAACATGAGAATACAAATGTCTCTTAAGATTCTGATTTTAATTCTTTAGAATAAACAAATATTGTTTTCCACAGTGGTTGCACATTTTACATTCTACCAACAGTGTACTAGGGTTTCATATGTGTGTGTGTGTGTGTATATATATATATATCTCAGAGACTTTTTGGTGGTGGGGTCCGTGTACTGGGGATTGAACTCAGAGTTCCTCAACCACTGAGCCACATTATAGCCCTATTTTGTATTTTATTTAGAGTCAGGGTCTCACTGAGTTGCTTAGCACCTCACAGTTGCTGAGGCTGGCTTTGAACTCATGATCCTCCTGTCTCAGCCTCCCAGGCCACTGGGATATATCAGACATATATTTTTGAGCTTTTCCAAAGAGATTCCAAAGAGGGAAATCCCACCGTGTGTGACAATGTGGATGAACTTGGAGTTCACTGTGCTGAGTGAAATAAGCTAGGCACAGAGAGACAGATCCTACATGATGCCAACTCACATGATGAATCTAAAATAGTCAAACTCAAGAAACAGTGCAATGGTAGTTTTCCAGGATCAAGGTCAGTAGTAAATAAGGAATTGCTATTCAACCAGTATAAAGTGTCCGTTAAGCAAGGTGAGAAAGTTCAGGAGATGTGCTGTACAGAATGCCAGAGTTAACAATACCGTGTTGTGTATTTAAAATTGTGCTAAAAGGCTAGATCTCATGTTAAATATTCTTTTCACAATTAAGGAAAAAAAAAAGTATGCACAGCCAAGCTAAATGTCTGAGTCAGTCTGGGTTCCCTTTTCACTTGCTGTGGTGACCTGGGGCCAATCACTCAACCTCTCTGTATCTCCATCTCTTCATGATAAAATATGAATAACAAAACTTGCCTGGTAGAATTATCGTGAAGTTCACTATTTTCTGATATTAATAAGCATACAGCAGTTCCAGGGATATACTAAGATGATTTTGTCTTAAGCACTTTATAGATACTTGTGACTTTTTAACCCTCAAGATAGCTCTGAGTAGAGGGGACTATTATCTATTATCCCCATTTTATAAGTGAGGAAACCAGTATTTGAGATTTAAGTTGATTCATGGTACATGGGAAGAAGGAACCAGTGAATGGTGCAGACTGGGCTTTGTCAAAACAGGTGAAGGAAGAGATGCTGCTGCCTGTGTGTCCCTGGAAAGCTTCCTAGAGGAATGGCCCAGAGTCTAGGTTTTAAAGAGCAGCGATGGTGGCAACCAGCCTTTTCCTTTATGGTGGGGACAGAAGAACGGTGTTGAGAAGACGCATGGATGTCAGGAATAAATCAATCACAGAAGTCACAGAAGCCAAATCTGCCCAGGACCTTGAATACCTGGCCAAGGAGTCTGAAGACACTTCCTGATGATAGTGAGTCAGGAAAGGCAGTGGGCAGGAGCAGAGGGCATCGGCTCACTTGTTCCAAAATGGTCCCCAGGAACCCAGTTTATGTGCCAGTCAGCACCCCTGACATGTCCGTGATCCCTTCCTCTTAAAAGGGGCCAGCAAGGCTGAGGAAGAAGCAAATGAGATGCAGGCCCACAGTCAAGGTAGCCCCTGCCACCTGGAGCCCCTCAGACTTCGTCCTCCAGTGGGGTGGGGCTCAACACAGACAGGCTCAGACTTGAATTTGGTGAGGGCCAAGGGTGGGGGTGGGGGGCACTGCTGGCGCACTCCCAAGAATGCTAAAGTGCTTCTCCATGAACCACCCTTGAAGGAGCAAGAATCCCAAGATTTTGCTTTGTGTCTAGTCTCACGACTGGAATCTCAGCAAGCAGTAGAGTGTCCAGCTCAGAGTGGGCACTCAAGAGTTTGTTCAACCAACACAGCTGAAATCCCTCTCATTCCTCTTATCACCAAGTGTCGTTAAGCAGATCTCCTCCCTATCACCTGTCAAGGGGCATTTCTTCTTTGGTGCATCTTCCTGTAATATCAGCAGTAAAGTGAAATAAGCCAAACCCCCCCTCCAAAAAAAAAAAGAAGAAAGAAAAGAAAAAGAAATAAGCCAATCCCCCCTCCAAAAAAAAAGAAAAAAGAAAAAGAAATAAGCCAATCTCCAAAAAACCAAAGATGGAAATTTTCCTCCAATATGCAGAAGCTAATTCACAATGTGGGAGGGTGGCTAGGGAAGAATAGAATTGCTTTGGATTAGGGAGGGAGGGCAGCTATGGGGATAGAAGGATAGTAGAATGAAACAGACATTATTACCTTTGTACATATATGACTGCAGGACCAATGTGATTCTGCAACATGTACACTCAGAAAAAATGAGAAAATATATCCCAATTTAGATGATATATCAAAGTGCATAAATGCATTCTACTGTCATGTATAACTAATTAAAACAAATTAAATACTTTTTTTAAACTAGCATGGTTCATACTGAAGAAATTACGAGCCAAGTATCACAAAGCCAGTGAGTAGAGGAGTACAAGAGGACAGAGAGAATGTGAAGGGTTGGATGTTGATGATGGCTGAACTACACTGTGGCTCTGTGCAGTGGGGCACCCACAATCCTGTCTCTTAGGCGTGTTTTGGTCAATTTCCATCTTTACAAAACCTTGAAAACACAAGCAAGGTCTAAATGAGATCTAAGAAGAGGATTCAGAGACAGGGATGGAGATGTAAAGTGTTTAAAGTTAGCTTTTTGTACCCAAAGAAAGAACAATGTTTCATTTAGAGCTTTTCAGCCTGGCGCTTCAACACATTCAAGTTCCCTGAGCAACTAAATTGAAATGGAATCACCTGCCTTTATTATTTCCTGCCCAGTCAGAATGGATTTACATTTTAAGTGTATGCTCAATGTCATGTCTAAATGGGAACTGATTGAGACATCCAGGAAGGTGGCTGTATCCTCCCACTTTGTAGGGGATGATAGAGGGTTTGCCCTTTTAGAGTCCTGCAACCAAAGGGTTGGGGGGTCTTGCTCAGAAGCAGCGGATACAGCCCTGCCCTATCTGTGCCTCCTGGGAACCTCAGGAAGGTCATTTCACCTCTCTGAGGTTCGGCTTCCTACTCTCTAAGAAGAACTGATTGGAACCAAATTACCTTTCCAACTTCTCTCTGCTCAAAAATAACAAGGTTCTACTCTGGGAACCCTCTTCACCACTCTGCTTTGCAATATGCAAATCAGCCAAATTTGGTAATTGGACAGAGCTGATGGGAACAATTTAATAAACTTTGATAACATTGCACAAAGTAATTGTTCAATTATTTCAAACGGTTCCATTCAGGAAGTACAACAGCGGGGGGGTCCATGGAAATTGCCTTCACATATTAATCTTCTCATCCAGTAGAAGCCAAATGAGAATGAAGGCTGTGTAGGGGGTATTTTTGTTTTAATTCTGATTAACTGTACTTTCATCTGAACATTTTAAAGCTGTGCTTTGGTCTTCCTCATATGGATGTTGACTGAGTCTTCTTATCAGGATTTTAATTAACACCAGGTAGAGAAGGGGAAACCAGGATGACATGCTATTACTTCTGTTTGATTTAAAGTCAACGCTGGGG